GAGCTGGTGCGCTCAGCCGGAGCTGGTGTGCTCGTGAGAGAACAGGCGAGTCGAGTTACCTATCTTTAGGCCGGAAGAATAAACTCCGTTCCGTGTCCAGGAACACATGGGCCATTCATTTCTCAGCTTTAAGTAGCGACAGGAAGAGAAAGGAGAGCGTCTCCTGAAACGGACCATGAACCAACCGGCTACTCTGGGGCTCCCTGGAATAATCTCAGGCAGAGCAGAAATCGGAAGTCAGACACCAGCCGCCCCTTTGGAGACAGCTCGTGCCGAATACTCTCAAGATAGCCAGAGCATCCCCACCGTCCCGCAGAAGGAAGGTTCTCTGTGTACCCACACGGCTACATGCTTGTTACCTTGACTGCGGTATGAACACATCCATGAGCGTTTGTTCTGGGCACACACGTGCCCAGCCCCGGCTGCAGCACAAAGCCATGCAGACAGCGTGACGGCCCTTCCCTGGGTCCACAGGGAGAGATGCGGGCGGGCGCCCCGTCCATGACTGCCCAGGGTCTCCTGACCTCCTTCCTCTTCACTCCCCGCAGGGGAGGCATCGAGGGCCTGATGTCTTCCCGGCTCCGTCCCAGTGGAGGCCATGGAGCTTGGGCCTGTGTCCAGCCTTCAACGAGTGCTTTTGAGCAAGTTGAAAACTAAGTGTTTGTGCTGGTTCCTGGATGTATTGTTTCCGTCCTAGGAAAGAGAAATCCAATACCCTATTTGTTGGTGGTGTTTGGTTTTTCTTATTTTGCCAAAACTCCTTGAAATTGGAACGAAGCTTCGCTGTTTACAAAATCTCACCTGATTATTTTTCCCCCACAGGGAAACTAGTTTGGAGCCCATCAAATACTCCCTAATGCGTTCTTTCATCTGGCTGCAGAATTAAATGTCACTTTTCGTTATCCGAACTTGCCGTATCAGCGCCCGTGCTACCTTTCCTCAGAGCCCGCGGGGACGCGCGTCAATCCCGTGAAACCAGGAGACGGGGCTCGGGGCCTGGCGGGCAACTCGGAGGCATCGCGTGTTCTCGCCAGGATGGATCGTGATGAAGCACGAAGGCTCATAGAAAATGCTAATATTAACTAATGATTCCTGCAGACGCGTCCCTGCCAGCACCTCCGTCTTTCTCCGCCGGAGACAGGAAGATCAGTGAGATCAGGATTTGTTTTCACTTCCAAGTTCCTCATCCATCATCTCAAGAGCACTTGCTTTGTGTCATATTTTGCTATGAAATTATTAATGCTGGTTTGACTGAATAAAATATGTCATTTGTATCTGAAACAGCAGAATGAAATCCCAGCGGCATGATGAGTTGCTGGAAAGATAATTGGAATGAGTAGGATATCTTAATTCATCATATTAAGATATTTATTTCTGGGCTTTCAATCTCCACTGATCGCGCTGGCCTGACCTGTGTGACTTCTCGACCCCCGGCATTAGAAATCCTGTTTTTCCCCAGAGAACGTACTTGGATGTGACTGTGATTTTGTGGTGAAGAGTAGAACAGAAAGACACCCAGAGGGGCTGAAATTAGGAAGGAAAATCTCGGTGCAGGAGCAGCCTTGGTGCCTGTGAGGAACTCTCAGTCAGGCAGAACGGGGAGGACGCCCAGCAAGGCCTGTCCACAGCCCGGAGCCCAGGGGACCCTGCAGGGCAGCAGGGAGCGGAGCGTCCTCTGAGACATAGGCGGAGTCTGCCGGCGCCACACGGGGCTGGGTCCTCAGAGCGACACGCTCTTGGGGTCACTGGCAGGAATCCCGGTGAGCACCCCTGGAGGCTTAGAGGGCGTGACCCTGATCCACATTTGCAGGTGGGAATGACCCTTGACCCCAGAATTGCACAACAGAGGTCCCTTGGGGGTCAAGGGTCATCTCCCCTGCTCAGGTCGTGGTGGTTAGGACGGGAGTGGGCAGGCACAGAGCCAGGGCCTAATAACCCCCCGCTGGACGCTCTCTCCTCCCCAGAGTCTCCCCACATCAGCAACAGCTGGCACCAGGGAGTCAGGACTTCTGGAGGTGCCGACCTCTGTCCCAAGGAGGGTTTGGCCCTTCCGGGTGCCCCTGGGACTCTGTGCAGTACTTCGGGTGGTGGCACCCGGGTCCGAGATGGCTTTGAGCAATCAGGTATCTCACCCTGAGTGTTTGTGCTGGTTCCTGGATGTATTGTTTCCGTCCTAGGAAAGAGAAATCCAATACCCTATTTGTTGGTGGTGTTTGGTTTTTCTTATTTTGCCAAAACTCCTTGAAATTGGAACGAAGCTTCGCTGTTTACAAAATCTCACCTGATTATTTTTCCCCCACAGGGAAACTAGATTGGAGCCCATCAAATACTCCCTAAAGCGTGCAGCCCCCAGGCCTTGCTCCTGTCTCCCCATCGAGATGGTTGGACTCCATCCCCGCTCTCGTCCCCACACCCCTGCACGGAGGTGCCAGCTGGGGGCATGCCATGCACAGGGCCGGGCATTCCTGCGGGCATCGGGCAGGTTCCTGCGGGCACTGGGGTACCAGCAGCCTCTCAGCCCACACCCGCCCGCGCCCAGCTCAGCCACCTCAGGCCAGTTCTGTTCTTCCACCTCCGACATTCCAGGAGGGGACAGAGCCCCCTTAGCAGGGTCGGCCACAGCCCATGGGAACCCGTGAGCCGCCTGCCCCCTGCCCAGGGCCTCACGTGCATCCTGGCACCGTCTGGGGGAGGTTGGAAACTTCTCTCCTCTCCCTCTCCGAGACCCGAGAGCTCTGGGTCTGGTGTCCCCTCCTGCGTGTTCCCACCCTCGTGTGCACACCCTTGTGTGTCCCCCGCCTCCCCCTTCTGTCCTGGGCTCTCCCAAAGTCCCCAGCACTGGCCAGACAGGAGGAGCCTCGGCAGGACAGCAGGTGGGAGGGGCTGCGTCCTTATGTCCACTCTGTAGCTGCCGCCATGGCCATCTCGGGCCCCTTACGCCTTGTGTCACTGTGGGCTGGTGTCAGTCGGCATGGTTGCCCTCTGTCACCTGCGTCACCGTGGACGGGGCTGTGGTCTCACTGGGAAGTCTCTGCTACCTGCATGGTCCAGGACTGCCCTCAACTGCCCCTTTGTCGCCTGTGTCAGTGGTGGCTGCTCCTCTGTCCTCCGGCCACCCAGGCGCTGGACCTCCTGTCTCCTGTGTCAGCCCTGGGCTGCCCCTTTGTCATTGGTGCCATCTGTGGGCTGCCCCTGCCAGCATCCATGCCAGCCCTGGACCCAGAGGCTGACCCTCTGTCCCCAAGTCAGCTGTGGGCTGACGCTCCCGTTATGGAGCCGTCGTGGACTGGAACTGTCACCGCCACCTTCTATCTGCACGTGTCCCGCAGGGGACAGTCCAAGAAACCAAGATCAGTTTCACTGGGTGTTTTGTGTCATCAAAGAGGCTGACAGAAACGGCAGATATGAAGTCCCATGGGTGGGTCCTGGACCAGAGGGGCTTTTCCAAGAGTATGAGAGCCTGGCAGAGCCAGCCTGAAAGGGGAGGGGAGGGTGCCAGCAGGCAGGTTGAGGGCAGGACGTGGGCACACTCCTGTCCCGGGCTCCGGAGCTACAGAGAACAGACAGACACCCCTGGCCCTCACCCCCACCCAGGGCCACCCTCTGAGACCGTCCCCAGCAGGAGAGGCAGCAGAGACGCTGAACTCGGCAATGCAGGCGTCTGCCAACTGCACGCTAAGTCTTCCCCGCATGCTGCCGCTTGCTCTAATGTCCACCCAGAAGGACAATCACAGTCAGCGTCCCTCCCCTCCGGCTGTGAGCACGCCGAAGGCCCCACTTCAATATGGGTTCCGTCCTTTCTTCTGCATTAATTGCCTATTTACAGTAAAACCCTTGCCAATTTTCACAGCACAAAACTCTACAAGTGTTGCTTTATGTGTTTAATTACATCAATTAATTATTTGCATGATTTAACAGCTCAGAGGCTACCAAAAATGATCATGTTAAAAGCCTGAGTGACTGTTTCTGAGGTAAACTGGGGGAGGCAGCCTGGAAGGAGGAATGTGGCTTCTCAGGACGGTCCTGTCTGAGCCCCAGGTCCTGCCAAAGCCGTGGGTGTCCCCAACATGGCTGGCCACCACTGCCCAGCGCCGAGAGCCCCAATGGCAGGGCCCGTGCATGGACAATGACACCGTCCCATTGACTTGCACCTTCTTGTTTGAATAAGACCCATAGAACAGGGCCCGAAGGTGGATGGCTGGTTCTGGTTCAGGGCTGTTTCTGGCCCTTGTTTGAGGTTCATTTCTGCCAAAGGAGCCCCAAGGAGTCCAGGACCCACCAAAGGTGTCCCTGTGAGATGGCTGCCCCTGCAGGCTGACCCCTGAGTGTCGAGGTTACTGGTGGTGCCCGGTGGCCTGGCCGGTACGTCGGTGACTCCATCTGCTCCCTCTGCGTCCTTCCCATCCTGGCTCGGCCCGAACCTCTCTGGTGCCCGCGTCCCTGAGGGGAGGTCACTGCCGAGAACCGGACTTGGTAGCCAGACCGGGGTGGGCAAGCGGAACGGCTGCATGTCCAGCCGAGCCCGGGACTCAGCCCCTGGGGAATGTGAGCTGAGGGCGGTGCCAGCCCCGGGCCCGTAGAGCAGGACCAGCACCAGCGACTCAGCCAACTGCCCTCTGGAACACCTTCTCCTGGACCACCCATGCTGACTGCAGGGACACTGCCCCCTGCCTGCAGGACACAGCGGGGGTGCGTGAGCCTGGCTTTGGGAGTTGGGAGGGCTCGGTCCACCAGTAGCCTCCATGGCCACGTCCTCCCCTTGCCTCCAACCCAGAGAATCTCCCTGACCCCTCCCCTCCCCCACCCTCCACCATCACCTCCTCCCCTCCCCCCTTGCACGGGGGCTTCAGTCTGAATCTGGCCCCTAAGGGGACTCTCGCTCCTTCAGCATCTCCCAGCCCTGCTCCTAGCCAACTGCCTGGCGGCTCCTGAGTGGAGTTCAAAGGAGCCTGAGCCGATAATTGCACTTGACATTCCCGTTTTGAATAGTCTTAAATTAAGTGCTCGCTTCAGCGGCACAAATACTAAAATCGGGACAATTCAGAGAAGATTGGCACAGCCCCTGCATGAGGATGACATCATCTGTGAAGCATCCCGTGTTTTCAGGGACCTGGGGACACTGGTGGAGGGAGGGAGCATGGGGTTGGGGCAGAAGCGGGAGTACTGAGTGCCCAGAACGACTCCGTTGGGAACAGCTTCACAAATAACCGTGTCTTGGAATAAAAATTAAGTCCCAATTAACCAAAAACAATAGCATCGATGTGCACCGCAAACAGCACTGAGCGGAAGGGGAGGAACCGCATCTCTGGACTGTGTGTTGCCTGACCAGCATTGCACACGGGGTGAGGGCTGCAGCCGAGAGCCGCCCTGAGGCCAGGCCCGGTCACTCACACAGGCCGTGGATATGCTCCTGTCCGGCTCACTTCCGGCCTCCTAGCCAGGTGGTGACAGAGAGTGGCCACACCCACATCAGATTCCTGGGGGCAGGTGCTGTGCGTCCACCTGGATTTGCAGGCCGTCTGTCAGGGGGTCTTTGGCCAGTGGGGGGTGGGGAGACAGGGGGCCCCAGGAGCCCTGCCCAGGCCCTCGGCACCTCGGAGAACCCGCTGCTCCAGGGAAAGCCCCTCGGGCTGTGTTTGAAGGGAAACACCAGCGTTGGTGTGTTGGGTCATGATCCCTCCGGAACCTGGTGGCCCCCGGAGAAGCCCAGTGCCCACGGAAAGCCTGGTGCCCGGGAGACACGCCAGCTCCCTGCTGGATGCAGGGTATGGGGAGAGCACAACTCCCTCCAGAATGACACCCACATGCATGCATTCACACACACACTTGTACTCACACACACACACACACACACATACACTCAGTCATGAACACATACACTCACTCATGGACACGTATACTCTCACATATTTGTACACACATTCATACACTCAATACACACAATCATGCAGTTGCACACACTCAAACTCATACACTCACATACACACACGAACCCCCCCATACACTCATATACACTCATACACAGGAATACACACTCCCATTCATGCACTCACACACACACACTCACACTCACACACACTCATACACTCACATACTCTCGCACTCATACACACATATGCCTACTCTCTCTCTCTCTCTCTCTCTCTCTCTCACACACACACACACACACACACACTGTCCTCTAGTGCCTCTCACTCACCAAGTCCCTCTGTCCCTCTGCCCCATGGGCTCTAGAACTGCCCTTCGCCTCTAGTGGGCGACTGACAGTGTTGGCATATGGATGGGCCAGAGAGGACACAGACATGGCGCCATCAGAGACGCACACACGGGCGTGCAGATGGAGATATTCAAGGACACACATCAGACCCCACATGAGAAGCCTGGGGTGAGGGCTTGGCAGGAGCGTGGGCCCTGGAGAAAGGCAGGCGGGTGCGTTCTGAAGCCCCACCTCTCCGGCTTTATGGAAATCTGTTATGTCACGACTGTTGGGCTCGAAGGCCACTCGTGGCGGACTGGGGCCTCTCCTGTCCGCCTAAGTGATCAGACACGCATTCCTGCAGCACACTGCACGAGACATGGTGTGCTCCTCATGGGTCCTTCCTCTGGGCCTCGGTCCAAAGCCCCGATGCTCAGAGATGCCCTGCCCCCTCCCGGTCCCTCTGAGAACAAGTACCCCACAGACACAGAACCCTCCACCCTCCTCTCCCTCCAGAAAAATAAAATGACCAGTCAGCTCTCTGAACCGAAAGCAAGAGGCAATGAAAAAAATATTGATTTGGACTAAATCACCAAATGCAAATGTGGTGTGCGTGGATAAGAGAGTTTGGCCAGGGCTTAGGTATTATAAAATAAATGCTCTGCTCGTCATTGAGTCTCTTGTCCATGTGAGTGGAAATATATATAGCATTTGCTTACTATCTCCAGCCTCAGGCATTAAATTCTCACTGAAATGGCAAAGACTGAAACGGACATAAATTTGAGGGCTGCTGTGCTGAGAAGTTTGGGGTCTGGTACATATTTCAAAGCCTTTGGAGGCGGGTGATCATGATGATATGCGGCCGGCTGTGGCAGATAAGTATAAAGGTGATTTCTGATGTGCAAGTTAACCAAGGCTCTCCCTGCCTCCGCTACAAGGTTCCTTTTCTCTGGCAGAGTTTACCAACTACCTTCTTTTTCTTTCCAGTTTTGGATTTAGTGCAAAAAGAGAGAGAGAGAGAGAGAGAGAGAGAGAGAGAGAGAGAGAGAGAGAGAGAGAGAGAGAATAAAGTAAAGGGCAAAGAGCCAAATCATTCACATTCCACTTTCTGATCCAAAAAAAAAAAATTGAAATTCAACACTGCAAACTTTCCGTTAGATCAGTTCCAGATGATTGAGTGAAACGGTCCCTGAACTCTGACCCCACCACCCCCCAGTTCAAGACCCAGAGCGAAAACAAGAGGGGCAGAGCCTGTCCTCAGGGCCGAGGATCTGGTGTCCAGGCTGAGGATCCTGTGATCAGGCTGACATTGGGCTCAGGGCTGAGGATCTGGCTGGGCCCTTCCCTTTGGAGTGCCCGTGGGCGGAGTCCAGGCGCAGGAGGCCTCTCCCCTCAGCCTGCTCTGGCACTTGCTCCCCCACTCTGGGCTCTCCTTGATGCCGGGCGGGGGACTGACCAGCGCTGGGGTCAGCTGGGAGGAAGCCAGTCCTGTGGCCACTCCTGACCGAGCACGGCCCACGCAGGGAGCAGGTCCTGCAGATTCGGGGCCAGCTCGGCCACTGCTCCTGCTTCCTCCACCAGAGCAGCACTGCGGGCAGGCCCTCCCCTCCTCTGCTCCTCCCTCCCCTCCCCCCCTCCCCCTCTTCCTCCCCTGCCCCTCCCCTCCTCTCTGCCCCTCCTCCTCCTCCTCTGCTCCCCCTCTCCTCTGCTCCCCTGTCTCCCTCTGTGCCCTGCTTCCTCCTGCCCCTGAAGGCCACTTTCCACTGCACATGCTGGTGGCACCTTGGACAGGGGGGCTGTCGCCAGGGAGGACAGGAGGAAGGAAGCTGCAGAACCCCCTTCCTGTCACCCAGTGGAGCCCAGCTGAGTCTTCCTGAGGCTGTTCTGGAAGCATCTATCCTACTAAGTGTTTCCCCATAGGAAGAGGCGGGGCAGAAAAATCCTGATGCTTTTGCAAACTTTTAAATACAAATTCAGGGGCTGGAGCGATAGCACAGCAGGTAGGGTGTTTGCCTTGCACGCAGCCGACCCGGGTTCGATTCCCAGCATCCCATAGGGTCCCCCGAGCACCGCCAGGAGTAATTCCTGAGTGCATAAGCCAGGAGTAACCCCTGTGCATCGCCGGGTATGACCCAAAAAGCAAAATAAAATAAAATAAAATAATAAAAATAAATACGAATTCATCTGTTCTTGGAAATTTGGGTTCTGTGCAGACTCTGGCTCTTTCGAATAGTGCTGCGAGGAGCGTGGGGGCACCAGAGCCTTTTCGAAGAGAGTTCTGGGCTCTTGGGTAGATGCCACGAGGGGGTGGGGGTGGGAGGGGCATGTCCAGTCCTAGCTTCTGAGGAACGGCCATGGTTTTCCCCAGGGAGGGGCCTAGTGCCCACTCCCCTGCAGAGAAGGAGGGGCCGCCTTTACCCCACCAGCTCAACTCTGGTGGCTCTGCTCCTTGTCACAGGCTCCAGGCGCTGGCGTGACGAGGGGGCCGCCCGCTGCCCTCTCATCTGCCTTCGTCTCCCTCTGAGGGCCTATGCAGGGCGCTTTTCCCGCATCAATTAACAGGTACTAGTTTACAAACGCTGCACTAATGGGTCTGTAAACCACGGTAACTAAGACAAAATCAAAAATAAATAAAATCAAAATTAATTTTGCCGCACCGTAGCCCGTCGGCCGCTCCTGACAGCCGTCAGCGTTCTTGCTCCCAGAGTGTCCCAGCCAGGTTCTGTCCGCAGCGCCGCCTCACCTGGCCGGTGCTCCTTCCTGCTCTCGGGAACAGTTGTAGATCCTTTGTGTTTCGATTATCAAACAGGCCATTCAATTGTTTTCAGCTAAACCTGGGTGTGCCCGGCCTGGTCTGAAGCAGCAGGATTCATGAGCGGTCAGTATGGATCGGCGTCTTCCAGCACTCTGTGTTCATCTCTGCAGCCCGGAGTTCCCGCGCTGGCTTGCAGACAGAAACCTGATAAATCTGCTTCAGCAAAAGCCTAACGAGCGTGCGGGCACTGCCTCTGGCCCCTGTGGGCGGCCACGTGTGGACGGAGACGTGAAAGTCGGGGTCTGACGGGTTGGAGGAGTCGCGCTATTCACCATGACATGGGCCAATCCAACAGTGTCGGGGCCGCAGAGATGCCCAGTGAGAAACTGGCCACAGGCGATGGAACAGAAGCTCACGTCGGATTCCAGGGCTGCGGCATGGCGCAGCTCACAGGGAAGGGAGGGGGCGCGCTCCTGAGGACGGTCCCCCTCAGACTCCCCTGAGGGTGGTTGGTCAGGGAGGAGCCAGGGCCAGAGGCTGGTGGCCACTTCGGCCCGGAGGACGTGGGACCTGGCCATCCCCCTGATGAAGCAGGCCTGACAGGGGAGATTTGGCAGCAGAGATGCCCTGTCCCCACAGGAGAACCCCAGATGGACGTCCAGGGGGCTCTGGGGTCATCACTGTGCAGCACACACACTGGGGTGCAGGCAGCCCCCACCTTCCTGGGTGTCCGTCCCACCATCGCTATGGAAACAGAGCCAGTAGCGGTCCAGAGAGACAGAAGGGGGCATGCCCTCGCCCAGAGGAGCCCTCGCTTGGGGGGGCCCCGCTCAGGGGTGCAACTGAGCAACCCTTCGCATACTCCTGAGAAACAGGTCAGCGTCCTGTGAGACACGCTCAGCTGCCTCTGGAGTCCAGGTGCCCAGCCTGGGCGCATTGGGGGGACGTCCCACCCACCCATTAAAGTACACGCAGCATAGCTGAGGGTGTGTGTGTGTGTGTGTGTGTGTGTGTATACATGTGTGTGCGTATTTGCGTGTATGTGCATGTATATATGTGTGTGTGCGTGTGCGCCTGTGTGTACATGCATGTGTGCAGGTGTGTTTGTGTGCATGTGTGTGAACGTGTGTATGCGTGTGCATGTTTGTGCATG